TTTACCTTGGAGGTTATATTTATTAAAGTTGCAAAATGCTTTCTAAGATTTTTATTGTTGTTATATACACAAAGTAGGGTTATTTCTCAGACTGCCTTCATTGCATTCCTATTCCATGGTATAGACATTCTCAGTTTTAATCCCCCGTTTATCTTTGTGCTAGAGCAGAGTTCACATTATATCTTTGAGAACTCTTCACTCCTCTTTTCAGGCTAAGATTCTGTGAAGCCCCTCAAATTCCATGACCTTAAATATAGGAATACAAACTAATAATATGTATATATTCCATGGATCCACTTTACTGACTACACAGAACCTACTGTATAGGTTCTTTTTTGAACAGGTATTTCATTTTCTGTGGTTTTTTCACAGTTTTTACCTTATCTGTTACCATATTTAGTACCTAACTATTTTTTATTAAATCTTTTCTTAAATTATTAAGAAAAATGATTTAAAATCTGAAAATAAAAAAATGTTACTGGTCTATACAACATTATCTACTTTGTTTTTAACTCATCACTGTTGTACTGTGGGTAGGTGCAGTTGAGTTGGTTCCGATCCATAGTGACTCGTGTACAACAGAACAAAACACCACGTGGTTCTGTGCGATCTTCACAATTGTTACTACACTTGAGCCCATTGTTGCTGCCATTGTGCCAACCCATGTCATTGGGGCGGGTCTCCTTTTTTGCTGACCCTTCACTTTACCAAGTGTGATGTCCTTCTTCTGTGATGGGGCCCTCCTGATAGTATGCTGAAGTATGAGAGATGAAGTCTGACCATCTTGGCTTCTAAGGAGCATTCTGGTTGTACTTCTTCCATCCAGATTAGTTTGTTCTTCACAGTTCATGGCACCTTTAATATTCTTCCTCAACACCATAATTCAAATGCATCAATTCTACAGTCTTCCTTATTCATTGTCCAGCTTTCACATGCATATGAGACTATTGAAAATACCATGGCTTGGGTCAGGTGCACTTCAGTCCTCAAACTGACATTTTTGCTCTTGAATGCTAGAAACATGTCTTGTGTAGCAGATTTGTCTAATGCAATACGTCATTTGATTTCTTGACTGCTGCTTCCATGACTGTTGATGGTGGATAAAAGTAAAATGAGGTCTTTGACAACTTCAATCTTTTCTCCATTTATCATGATGTTATTTATTGGCTCAGTTGTGAGGATTGTTGCTTTCTTTACATTGCAGTGCAATCCATACCAAAGGCTGTGCTCTTTGATCTTTATTAGTATTTTAAGTCCACTTCGCTTTCAGCAAGCACAGTTTTCTTCTTCATATTAGCCAGCTTCTTGGTTATTTGATCAGCATACAGATTGAATAATTATGGTGAAAGAATACAATCCTGGTACACATCTTTTGATTTTAAACCATTCAGTGTTCCCTTGTTCTGTTTGAATAACTGCCTCTTGGTCTATGTACAGGTTCCACATGAACACCTTAAGTGTTCTGAATACTCATTCTCTTTAATGCTATCCATAGCTTGTCATGATCTACACAGTGGAAAGCCATAGTCCATAAAGCATAGGTAAACATCTTTCTGATATTCTCTGCTATTAGCCAAGATCCATCTGACATCAGCAATGATATCTCTCACTCTGTGTCCTCATCTGAATCAGGCCGGAACCTCTGGCAATTCTCTGTTAATGTACTGTTGCAGACGTTTTCAAATGATTGTTAGCAAAATTTTGTTTGCCTGTGATATTAATGATATTGTCCATGATTTCTGAAAGATTAACTACTCCGGCCTTTTATTTATACATCTTCTACAATTATAGTTGTGACCACCATGATTTTAATCTTGATAAGAATTACACCATAAAATCCTATCACCATCATCCCCCATCCTCTTTCATAAGATCCATCTGGAAAAGAGGAAAACTGTTCAGTGGGGATTCTATGCTAACACTCTAATTCTGAAACTGAGCACATTCATGAAAGCTTGTAAGCCACATACTTAGTGCCTTTATAACCCCCATAGACAGTCAGTGTCTAAATTTTCCACCCCTATAAACAGAGTTCTGGTGTGGCGCTGCGGGCTGATGAGCTGGGCTGCAAAGTCAGGTTGAAAAGCAAGGTTGGCAGTTGAAATTTTTTTTTTTTTTAATTTAAGGTTTTTATTGTGGATTGAGTGAAAGTTTACAGGGCACATCATCAGTTTCACATTCAAC